TCTTCCTCCTCCTCCTCCTCCTCCTCCTCCTCCTCCTCCTCTCCCAGGGGCGCCTCCTGCCCGAGACTGCGGGGCGAGCCCAGCAGTTGCGACGAGTGCCTCCCAGGAAGCCCAAGGGGGCGAAGGCGAGGCAGGGGCAGCGGTGTCGGCGGCGCCTCACAACTGGGGGAGCTGTGGCCCTTGCCCCCCTGGGGGAGCCCATCGCGTCGACGACCTCTCGAGAGGGGTGTCGAAACCGAGGGGCCCCCCAGGGGAATGAGGACCACAGCTCCCCCAGCTGTGGCTGGCCTGCCTGCCTTTTCCTCACCGGAGATCCAGTATCTCGCAGGTTGTCGCGGAGTTGCCTGCAGGCGCCCCCCTCGGAGCTTGCCGCGCCAGGCGGTGGCTCCGGCTCGGCCGCGTGCCCTCCGGGCAGGCTGCCCTTCGCCTCGGTGGCCTCTCCTCCCGCCGCCGCCGCGTACGACTTGTGCTCCTCCAGAGACGGCACCATCGCGAGAGCCACGACCCCCGAGAGGAGCGCCATGGCAGCCACCAGGAGGAAGAAGAAGGGGAGCGTCGCGCCTGAGGGGCAGCGGCAGGGGGGGGGAGAGCTGGCACTGGAAGGGAACATCAGCCTGGAGTCGGCGATACGTCGCCAATAGATCGGCGATGGGCCCCCGATGGTGAATCCACGCGGTCCTGGGCGGGGGGGGGGGGGCGGGGCTATCAGGCCCCTAGCGGCGATCAGAAGGCGATTGGGGGTCGATGAACCTCCCCTGTACAGTGCGGGCGCGGCCGCGAGAAACCCTCGCAAGGAACCCGATCCTGAAAACCCTCGCGCGAGGTGCACCTGAGGGGAAACCCGGAGCACCCTGAACACAACAGCTTCTTTGACGGCCGCGGGGAGTCACCGCGCAGCGCGCGGAGCGAAGAGATCCAGGGTACTCTGACGAAAAACAGACGGCTTCTTGATGCGCGCGCCCCCACTGTACCTGTCCCCCGCTATCGTTGCCCCTGAACGCCGAAGCTCGAATTCAGCCAGACCGCCACCATCACCAGCGAGTCCGAGAAGATCTGGATGCTGCCGATCATGGCAGACACGAGGCTCTCGTCCCCTGGCAGGAGCCACAGCCACGCGTACACCCCGGTCAGACGGTCGGCGGCGCGCCCTGGGCGGCAATGCCGAGGGGCCCCAGCCCCCCCTCGAGCCAGGAGCAAAGAAATCACGACGGGAGGCCTTGGCCAGCCATTTTCAGCCTCCGCACACCGCGGGAACGATCGAAAACGGCTCAGGGGGAAAGACCAGTCCCGGGGAGTGGGTCGAGACCTCTGGGGGCCGACCTCGTGAAGCAATCATGACGTCGGGGGCCTGTGCAAGAAGCCTCAGGAGGCCTCTGGCCTTCTGAGAAGCTTTCAAAGCCTTCTCCGAAGCCACTGGGGGGCCTCTCAGCAGGCTGGAGGTCTTCCGAGGAGCCACGCCGACTTCCGAGAAGGCCTCCCCCCTTCACACTCCCCCCCTGGGCGCGCCGCCGAGATTGGTCCACCCGAAGAAGGTGGTGGCGGGGTAGAACACCCACAGCAGATCGTTCATGCGCTGGTACTGCACCGCCACAGCCATCACCACCTGGCAGACGACCACCCCCACGGCGCCGACGACCATCAGCGCCCGCGGCCCGAAGACGTCGAAGAGGGCACCTGGAGGGGAAGAAAACGAGGACCATGACCACGACTGAACGTGGAAACGTCGTGTCGATCTTGGTCACCGCCTTCCCCAGCCAGCCGCAGCTCGGGCATCATCCTCGCCTATCGACGACGGCCGACATGGACCATGACCAAGATCGGCATCGTCCCGATCCTGCGACATCTCAGCATTGGCCACAAACATCCGACGTCTTGACTCTTTTCGCGACACGGGCCCCCGACCTCCCGACCACTTCCCCGGGACCGGCTCTTCATCCCGAGTCGTTTTTTGACGGTCCTGGGGCCTGGCGAGGGCCCCGAGAGGCCGTAAACAACGAAAATCTCCGCCTCGACATTGTCGAGCACCCCGCACCCGGGTGCACAGCACGCAAGGCGCTCGCAAAACACGCCCCAGACCACCGGCATCACGCAAACATTTGGACCCCCTACGTATCTGCCACCACCCGCGCGCGACACCGCACCCTCACACAAGACGCCGCTGGCCAGAAACTCCTGGCCTCGCAACAGTCACAGAAGGGGTCGGCGGACGTGGCGTAAGCCTGTAGAATCTCCGCCTCGATATGTTCGAGACGCCCGACGTCTGGGGTCCGCGGGGTTCCTCTCTCGGGCACCGGAGACTGTCCCGGCCGCCATGGCGATGCAGATGGCGAGCGAGAAGACCTCGAGCAGGGACCTCCTCCCTCCTCCCTCCTCCCTCCTCCCTCTTCCCTTCTCTCTCCTCCCTCCTCCCTCCTCCCTCCTCCCTCTGAAAAACTCTAAAGACAAATCAACAGCCTTCCTCCTGCTTCCTCCTTCTTCTTCCTCCATCCTCCCTCCTCCCTCCGACCTTCCCGGCATTCCTTCAGACCTACCACGAAACGCTCTTCGAACCCCTGAGTGTTCTCAGAGCACTAACAACGTTCTCAGAACGTAAACCCGACGTGCTCCCACAAGACAGTCTCAGCCAAAAATGCTCTGAGAACATGCCGTGCAAACCACAAGAGGTTCTCAGATCATTCTTCGGTGGGCCTGTAGGCAGGCCAGGGCGCTTCGCCCCTGCTCGAAGACCTGCTCCAGCCGTGCCTCCTGGCCCGGCCCCTCCCAGACGCCCTCTGCGATCAGCAGGGGCTCCAGGGTGGGCCAAGAGGACATCGGGCCCGACGCCAGCGAGCTCGAGACGATGACGAGCACGAGGCTCAGCCACCTGCGACCTCAGCTTCAGGTCGGGCACGTCCTCCCACAGGCGGATTCTGGAAGGGAGAAGTACAGCGGCCCAGACAAGCATCGTCGAACATGGTCAGAAGAGCACGAAAAGCGCCGACAGACTCATGCTCTGCTGTGCTTGGACATCCCTCCTGCAGAAAGACATGCCCAACGCAACCTCAGCATAAGGGGGGGAAGCGGGCCCCGTGGGAACCGGGCCCCGGACACGAGGGCTCTCCCCCCGGGACGAGAGCTGCCTCCCGAGCAGCGCTTTTGCTCGACAAGTGGGGCGCGTGGAGGGCCCCGAGCGCCCGAAAAAAAAGCCAAGGCCAAAAGGTCTCCAGCCTCCACAGATTCGTAAAGGGCTCGAGCGTGAGCTCTCAGCTACCTCTTCCAGGATCCCCAGGGAGCTTCCAGGGAGGCTCAAAGGGTGCTTCCAGAGGCTCCTGAGAGGCCTCTCCCTCCTCCTCCATCTCCTTCCTGTTCATCCCTCTCCTGCTGTTCTTCCTTCTCCCCCTGCCTCAGGACCCACGTCCCTTAGGTCGGGCGTGTCCCCCTGCAGGCTGATTTTGGCAGAACACTGATTCGAAAGGGAGAAAAAATACTCAGAAAATCGCCTCCACACTTTTGGGGGACTATTTTTGAGCACTTCTCTTGTAGTCAGAGCGTGAATTACCTACCCCGCTTTCGCTTCCAGGAAAAACCAAGGCATACCACGCGCCTCCTCGTCAAGCGGCCTGACCAGTACAGGCCGTAGTTTGGCATCGTTTGGTATCTCTTGGAAGCGAGGGTGGTCAAAAGCGAGGTAGGTTTGTTTTCCCCCTATGTAGAGGGACATGCCCGACTCTAACAGTTCCCTCAGGACCCACTCCCCCCATGGCGGCGACCGCGGGTGGCCAGGTGGGCCGGCATCTTCAGGCCGGCAGCCGCAAAGGGGTCCAGCGAGGCGCCCGCACCGGGGTCGTCGAGCAAGGGCAGGAGGGAGTCTGCCTCTCGGCGGCGCGCGGGGGGGGGGGGGGCTGGCGCAGGGAAGGCGGCCCGCGGAGGAGGTAGGGCGTTCCTTGGAAGGCGGGGGGGTTCTGATCCTCGGGACCTCAATCATCGCTCCTCGATCCTCGAGCCTCGCACTGCGAGCCTCGATCCTCGAACTTCGAAGCCTCGATTGGGAAGCCCTCCCTGCCTCCCGAACGGCCTTCTCGGGTCCCCGACGCCTTCCGAGAAGGCCCCCCACCTTTCAGAGCAGCACCCCCGCGGGACCCTCCCGTCGGCGCCTCGGGCGCCGCCCCCGGCGCGCCCGGGAAATCCGCGCGCACCACCGGAGCGACAACGAGAGCAGTTTTTTTTTTTTGAATCCTCGGCCGGAGTTTCGGCCACGTTCGCAGGACAGCCTTGCGACGCACATGAGTCGTGTACAGTATCGCCGTCCGCTCCCACCTCCTGCTCCTCCTCCTCCCCCCCCCCAAAAAAAGAGAGCGAAAACGAGAACAGTGACCCAGACTGACCGCGGAAACAGCGGTGTCGGTCTTGGTCATCGTCCGTCGTGGTCGTCGTCCGTCCGAAGATCGTCCTCCAGAATCGGGGAGCAAACGGCATGGACCATAGCCCAGGTCGACGTCGGCAAGATTCCGCGATAACTTGGCGATGGCCGACATGTTTCTAGAGCCTCCTGGATGGAATTCGAGCAGATGGGGTCGGAAAATCGCGCCGCATCGGCTACGTCGGCGAGGCATCGGCGACGCCACCGCGGAAACAAAAAAAAAAAAAAATGGGTTCCACATCGAGCCGCATCGGTGAGGCATCGACGACGCGGCGCGATCCTCAGTCCCAATCGGACTCCGACCCCGCCTGGGAGGCCTCGAGCGATGGCTTGGCCACTGGCCATCGCTCGGACGTCCATTCCCTGTGTTTTTTTCGGTTTCGTGCGTGTTTTTTTCGCCAAATGATCGAGGAAGCTCCTCGATGGTCCTCGCCGAAGGAAAAATGCACACGTCCGAGCGATGCCGAGGGCCATGGTCGTCGCGTCTGCTGCGTCGGGTCTGCTGCTCGAGCCGCTCCCCGCGCGCGCGGCTGGGCCTCCGTGGGCGGCACGGCGGGGCCGCCGCCAGAAGGCGCCGCGCGCTCCTCCCACGCCACGGGAACCAATACTCCAGATTTCGTAATAAAAGGGAGGGGGTCTGGACCCTCCAAGACAAGCCATTTTAGACCCCCCCTCGTGGGAGAACCCTCCAAAACATCGTCCCCAGACCCCCCCAGGCCCTCCAAGATAGCTAGGAAGAGACCCCCCCCGAAATGAGACCCCCCTCCCTTTTATTGCGAAATCTGGAGTGCCCGCGGACACCCGCCAGCGAGTTTTTCCTGTGCCCTCAGGGAAGGCGGCGGTGCGTCGTCTCTCGAGCGCGAAGGATACCCTTACCCTTACCCTGACGCGACGGCCGCTTGAACATTACAGGACGCTGTTTTTTTTCTGTTTGTTGGCACGCGGTGGCACCGAAGCGACTGGGAGGCCCCAAGAGGTCCCAAGATGGCCCAAGATGGCCCCAAGAGGCCCCCGAGAGGCCCCCAGGAGGCCCCCAAGAGACCCCCCCCAGGAAGGCGGCGGTGCGTCATCTCTCGAGCGCGACGGCCGATTGAACATTACAGGACGCTGTTTTTTTTGTTTGTTGGCACGCGGTGGCACCGATGGCACGTGCGTTCGATTCGGCGGAATGGCCGACTCCGCGTTGGTCGCTGCCGAACTAGGCCAGCTAACCCCACCAGCGCTCTGGGCGTCGGTGGTTTAGGGAGTTTCCTCTTCCACCCCTCCTTCTTCCCCTTCGGGGAGGGGCTTACCCCTCCCCCTACCCCCTCCCCATGGACCTGGAGGGGGGGGTCGCGAGTCGTCAGGGCGTCCAAAACGGCCTCGGCGAGGAAGCCAAAATCATTGATTTTACCATGGTCTTGGCCACATGTTGGCCTCTTGGGGGGGGACGCTAATTCAACACCCCCCCTCCTGTGATCGATCTCCTCCAAGATGGCCCCAAGAAGCGACCGGGAGGCCCCAAGAGGTCCCAAGATGGCCCAAGATGGCCCCAAGAGGCCCCCGAGAGGCCCCCCGGAGGCCCCCAAGAGACCCCCCCAGAGGCACCCAAGATGCTCCTAGAGGCCTCGGCGAGAATGCCAAAACGGCCTCGGCGAGGAAGCCAAACTCATTGGTTTTACTATTGTGTTGGCCCCATTTTGGCCTCCTGGGGAGGGACGCTAACTAATGCTCCCCTCTTGTTTTATCGATCTCCTCCAAGATGGCCCCAAGAAGCGCCCAGGAGGTCCCAAGAGGTCCCAAGATGGCCCCAAGATGGCCCCAAGAGGCCCCCAGGAGACCCCCAGGAGGCCCCCAAGAGACCCCCAAGAGGCCCCAAGAGACCCCCCAGAGGCACCCAAGATGCTCCTAGAGGCCTCGGCGAGAATGCCAAAACGGCCTCGGCGAGGAAGCCAAACTCATTGGTTTTACTATTGTGTTGGCCCCATTTTGGCCTCCTGGGGGGGACGCTAATTAAGGTTCCCCTCTTGTTTTATCGATCTCCTCCAAGATGGCCCCAAGAAGCGCCCAGGAGGCCCCAAGAGGTCCCAAGATGGCCCCAAGATGGCCCCAAGAGGCCCCCGAGAGGCCCCCAGGAGGCCCCCAAGAGACCCCCAAGAGACCCCAAGAGACCCCCCAGAGGCACCCAAGGCTCCAAGAGGCCTCGACGAGAATGCCAAATAATTGATGTCACGAAGGTTTGACGTTGGGGGTCAACACGCTTTCGGGGGTGCATGCGAACACTCATGGCGCAAACGCTGTTGCGCGACAGCCGCCAGATCGCGAACTGTTCGATGCAGAAGCATCGCGATTCCGAACGCTGGGCGAGGAGGTCGCCAGAGGCCGCCCCCCTTGGACGGCCCTCCAACGATCACCCCAACCATGTGCGGGAACGTCTCAAGAGCCAGAGAGCATACCCGTACCTAGCAGAGGTGTCTGAACACCACCCCAGCTCGGTCCAGGTATGTTTCTCGGGGGCGGCCAAGAGGGGGGTGTCCAAGAGGGGGGGTGCAAATCATGGCCGGCGGCATGTGCGCGGCCCAGCGGGGGGGCCAGGGACGTAATGAAATAAGAAGAGGCGCCATGAAATCTGAGGAAAAATCATGGTCCACGCCATGAAATCCACCCCCCCTAGTCATCACCCCTCTCTTTGCCGCCCCCGAGTTTCCTGGGGCCCGGCCCATACCCGCACCTAGCGCAGGTGGCGAACAGGCAAAAAAGGTTCTCGAGCACATCGCAAGCCCCCCAGAACCGTCCCCGACGCCGACGCTGCAGCGCCCTAGGGTGAAGGGGAACTGGGACACACAAATAAATACACACAAATGAAATAATTCCCCATATTTTCCCATATTTTCTGGGTTTCTGTCTTCCCCCCACTTCCCATATTTTCCCATATGTTCCTGGGAGTCGACGATTAATTGTATCTGTATTTTTTTCCCTCCTGATAGGGGCGCGACATCGCAACGTCGCTCGTCGGGTAAATCCCAGACGCACCGCTTGCCGGGATAGCGCGGACATGTGATTCTCTTTATCGAATGGGGCAAGCGCCACTACTCGCATGCGACCTTGAGTCGCGCGCGCACCAAGATACCCCCCAGACGCCCCCATCTGAAATCAACGCTTTCGCTGCAGACAGCCAACCATTGAACGCGCCGTTGCGTCTCGACGCGCGGAAATTGCACTGGCACGCGCGACCGGCCGATCGGCCACAATGGCAAACGCCCAATCCCGCGGGCGGCCCATCTCACCCTGGCTGACCCCAGGTATGTTTCGGACTGAACTTGTGAGTTTGACTCCATATCTACATACGGTGTACATAAACAACATGTGCATACACATGCGTACATGCACGCAAGCAGACATGCACACATGAATACTTACATGTACACGTACATACATGTGGACATACATATACGCCCAGAAATCAGACGTCATGTTTTTCCCCAAGACCAGCGTTTCATCCCGAATCGTTGTTTGACGGTCCTTGTGCCCAGCGAGGCCCCCCTGAGGCCGAAAATGCCCAAACCAATGCCGACGGCATGTTTCGCAACCAGAGGAGGTGGGGGTATAACTGTATACACCTATATGGTCACGTGCATCCATAGTCACACCTATTCACACAACTATACACTCGTATACACATACATATCTATATATATATATACATATACATATATATATATAAATGTATACACTAGAACCATCGCGCGCGCTTCGCGCGCGCTCAGGTTCTAGCAGGCCCCAGGCCTTGACGAACTCACCGCTCCACTGAAGTAGTGGACCACAGTCCACGCATGCCAACCCGCATGCCGAAAGGCTTCGGGGAAAATGGTTGCGAAGGGGGGCGGAGGCCGGATGAATCGGGCTCCCAGAAGGCCTTCTGGGAGCATGGGTTTGGGGGGCGTCTTGGGGAGCCTGCTGGGGCGTGCAGCCGTCGTCGTCGTAATGTCGTCGTCGCCTCTTGGGGCGCGCCGTCGTCGTCGTCGTCGTCGTCGTCGTCGTCGTCGTCGCCGTCGTCGTCGTCGTCGTCGTCGTCGTCGTCGTCGTCGTCGTCGTCGTCGTCGTCGTCGTCGTCGTCGTCGTCGTGGTCGTCGTCGTCGTCGTCGTCGTCCTCGTCTTCGTCGTTTCGTCGTCGTCGTCGCCGTCGTCGGTTCAAGAGGGCACTTTTCGCGAAACGATCTGCGGAGGGCCGCGAGAAGGCGATCAGTCGTGTTCCAAACCAACTTCCCAGACAGCTCTCCTGTAGCATGGTGGTACTTCGAAGCCTCTGGAGACTCGCGGGCCCATGATGAACCATGTCCCCGGAAGGCTTCCTGGGAAGATGGTTTGTTGGGGTGTGTTGGGGGGCCTCTTGGGCGCTCCCTGGGGGCCCCTTGGGGGCCTCCGGGAACTCGCGGGCCCATGATGAACCATGTCCCCGGAAGGCTTTCTGGGGACATGATTCCTTGGGGTGTGCTGGGGGGGCTCTTGGGCGTTCCCTGGGAGCTCCTTGAGGGTCTCTTGGGGCTTCCTGGGGACCTCTTGGGCGCCTCACGGGGTTTCGTGGGAGCCCCTTGGTAGCCTCTGGGGGTCTACTGGCGGCCTCTAGGGCCAGAGACCTCGGAATATCGGTTGGCGGTCCCCCTCTGGGCCCCCTCTTGGGGAGCTCTTGGGGCACACTTGGGTTGTCTGGGGAACCTCCTGGGCCGTTTCGGGGCCCTCTTCGGGGCCTCATGGGCTGTCTTGGAGCGATCTGAAGGGCCTCCGAGGCCGTGAGGGAGCGCTGGGAAGTGGGGAAAGCGAGAACGCTTAAATCCTTCAAACACCATCGGAAAAGTAGCGAATCTTGCAGGGCCCTCTTGGGGAGCCTCTCGAGTCCGTCCTGGAGCGTGTTGGAGTCCTCGTCGGCCGTTTTGAGGGCATCTTGGGCGTCTTCGGGGGTTCTTGGGAGCGTCTTGGGCCCTCTCGGGACCTCCATTAGGATGTCGTGGCCTGCTTCGGGGCGGGCCCGGGCCGCCTCGGGACCCCGCTGGGCCTTCTCTTGGGGCACACTTGGGTTGTCTGGGAAGCCTCCTAGGCCGTCTTGGGGCCCTCCTCGGGGACTCATGGGCCGTCTTGGAGCGATCTGAAGAGCCTCCGAGGCCGTGAGGGAGCGCTGGAAAGCGGGAAAAGCGAGAACGCCAAAATCCAAAACACTCGGAAAATGAATGAATCTTGCGTTCCAGGGCGTTGAGGAGCCTCTCGAGTCCATCCTGGAGCGCGTTGGAGTCCTCGTCGGCTGTCTTGAGGGCATCTTGGGCGTCTTCGGGGCATCTCCTCTTGGGACCGTCTTGGGCCCTCTCGGGACCCCCATTAGCATGTCGTGGCCTGTTTCGGGGCGGGCCCGGGCCGCCTCGGGAGCTCTGGACCCCCCCCAACAACCCCCGGCGGGCACCGATGGAGCCAGCCAGCCTGGCTGGAGTCTCGAGCACGGCGACGTGGATTCGGCATTTTTGAATGGGAGATATCTCGACAGCTCCAGGCGTGTGTACTTCCGTGTTCCCAAGGGCGGCTACGAGGATGGATTTGCCGTTCCGGCTGGTGGAAAGTCAAGCTCGGGCTCACGACAGTGACTTGAAGGTACAAGACCTGCTAGACTTCAACAAGCTCGTGAGCGACGCCAAGACCGACCACGTGGACATAACCTTCCAGAAGCTGGAAATGGACGTGATTGTGGTGGCAGTGGGGGACTCGAGCCACGGGAACGTGGGCAAGACGAAGACCGCTAGCCAGGCTGGCCTGGCCATCTTGCTCGCGGACAACACTGACGATAGGTTCCTACGTGGGCAGCCTGTTAAGGTTACCCCGATGTTGTGGCGATCACATCGCATCAAGCGAGTGGTACGGAGTACCCTGGCAGCCGAGACGATGGCAGCGCTGGAAGCAGTCGAGAGTGGCGACATGCTGAGACAGCACCTGGTAGAATTGCACCACGGGCTGGGCTACCAGACCCACATGGACGACGCAAAGGCGATCAAAATGATGGAGGTCACGGACTGTAAATCGCTCTATGACCTGCTGCAGAAGCGAGGGACGGTCCCGTCCGATAAGCGGCTGCTCATCGACATCGAGTCGCTCAGGAACGACATAGAGTTCAACAACGTGGTGAGCAAGTGGGTGAACGTGAACACCAAGCAGATGCTCGCCGACTGTCTTACCAAGCAGGACTTCCGCGCGGGCGACTACATGAGGTATGTGCTCTGGACGGACGAGTACCGGTTGACGGAGGACCCCATGACAGAGCAGGTGATCTCCTAGCAACGGATGGAGCTGAAGGGTCGCAGGGGCGAGTACTACCGCTCGAAGTATCCTCGTCGGCATCGGCCTGCCGACCAGCCCTTTGTGCGGGAAGGCTACACATACTTCGAGGACTGCATTGCGGACCTGAGGTACAACGCGCGTGCAGCGCGACCGGCGCCCAAGCACTACCTCCGCTGGCGAATGATGCTGGGCCAGCGCGAGGACGCCATCTACTACGAGAAGCTCGAGGACATGGTCGATTGGTCGTGACTGGACCAAGTGGCGAAGCGTCGGAGGATTCCGACCCATGTGCGCAAGTTGCTGACGATATACGCACCGACCAAGGAGGCTCTCGAGCGCTACGAGAAAGACGTCACGGAGAAGCATAACTTGAAGGAGACGGACACGACCAACGACATCGAGCACCACGAGGACGCGAACATCATTTCGGACGAGAACCAGAACACGGACGATATGGCGGATCTGGACGACGTGAAGGAGATCTAAATGATGGACGCCGCGGGTGCCGAGACCGAGGAGATCGGAGGAGGCGCCGCTGGAGCTGGTGCTACGTTGGTGGTATGCGCGGCGTGTCGGATGGTGGTGGACCGGTGCGAGTGTCAGCCGAGGACCCGCAAGAAAGCAAACCACAACACCCATGTTCCGAATGATGGTGATGATTTTTGTTTTACCCATTGGGGCTCTGGAGGCTTCTGGGGGTCCCAGTTGAAGGCGGTCGACTCCTTGGTCGAGCAGTCCGAACTCGGCCGTGGCGAGGGGGGGCCCACTGTCCGAGGGGAGCTCCCACCTGCCGCGCGGCGTGCCAGGCATCCGCGGCGGCAGCGCTCCCCCACGCGGAGCCGAATGATGGTGATGAATGGGTCGAGATTCCCTGCCAAACCGAGCAATCCGGAGGATCGACTACCAGGAAGAAGACGACGGAGCTACCGATGGACGAGGCTCGCAGACTGCATGAGCGGTTGAGGCACGCATCCTGCAAGCAGGTGGAGCACGACCCGGGCGATGTACTGGAGGGCGAAGCGAAGCGAAGCGAAGCGCGCATGTCCGCCGGAGCGGGACCCTTGAGGGTCGGCGCGGGCGGGCCGGGGCCCTTACACCGTGGTGCCGGAGATGTTCATACAGAAGCCGTCGCATGCGCGATGTACTGGAGGGAGATATCCTAGAGGCATACCAGCGGGTGGTCGCCGGATGCAGTAAGTGCCGCAGAGCCAGTCACGACACAGAAGACAGCCCGAAAGGCAAGGGCAGCGAGAGAGGAGAGGGCAAGCTCAGGACTTTGAGCCGAGTTGACCCGGACGAATGTGTGCATCCAGCCGATCAGCTCTCGACTGTGGGCACCAACCAGCACAAAGAGAAGGTGCGCTGCCGCCTGTGCGGCACGCTGCTCGTGGACAGACACGCGAAGTGGTGGTCCGAGGAGAAGGAGCTGCGTGCTGAGGTCGAGGCGATCCGCCTCGAGAAGCAGAAGCAGGAGCTCCGGGGCCGTGCGAAGGCACCGACGGCCGGACGGCCCTCGACGGGATGAGATTGGTTGATGCAGTCGCTCGTGAGTGAGCGGCACCTCCATGTTTATGCATATCCTCTTTTTTGTTGTTGAACAGAGCCAGCGCCGGCTCGCTATTTATACATATTTCTGTTTTACCGAACAGCTTTTGCTGATAGGTTTCTAGTGGTGTCAAAAGAGAGCAGCAGATGACTCCACAGGGGGGTCGGGGCGGGACCCGGGGAGCTGTGTCCGAACTCGTGTCCGAATGCGTTTTTCGCAAACAGTCACACACTTCGTGCTCTTCGACCTCCCAGAACTCCATTCCCGGGCCACATTCTGAATGCCTGGAGCCAACTGTAGGCCACTTCGTGCTCTTCGACTTCCCAGAACTCCATTCCCGGGCCACATTTTGAATGCCCGGAGCCAACTGTAGGCCACTTCGTGCTCTTCGACTTCCCAGAACTCCATTCCCGGGCCACATTTTGAATGCCCGGAGCCAACTGTAGGCCACTTCGTGCTCTTCGAGTTCCCAGAACTCCATTCCCGGGCCACATTTTGAATGCCCGGAGCCAACTGTAGGCCACTTCGTGCTCTTCGAGTGCCCAGAACTCCATTCCCGGGCCACATTTTGAATGCCCGGAGCCAACTGTAGGCCACTGTGCTCTTCGAGTTCCCAGAACTCCATTCCCGGGCCACATTTTGATGCTGATGCAGAGGCTGAGAATGGTGATGCTGATGCTGAGGCTGAGGCTGAGGCAGGCAGGCTGAGGCTGATGAGGCTGAGGCAGGCTGAGGCTGAGGCCGAGGCTGAAGGCAGGCTGAGGCAGACGCTGAGGCAGGCTGAGGCTGAGGCAGGCTGAGGCTGAGGCTGAGGCTGAGGCAGGCTGAGGCTGAGGCAGGCTGAGGCTGAGGCTGAGGCTGAAGGCAGACTGAGGCTGAGCAGGCTGAGGCTGAGGCTGAGGCAGGCTGAGGCTGAGGCTGAGGCAGGCTGAGGCTGAGGCTGAGGCAGGCTGAGGCTGAGGCAGGCTGAGGCTGAGGCGAGGCTGAGGCAGACTGAGGCTGAGGCTGAAGCAGGCTGAGGCTGAGGCTGAGGCAGGCTGAGGCTGAGGCTGACTGAGGCAGGCTGATGCTGAGGCAGGCTGAGGCTGAGGCTGAGGCTGAGGCAGGCTGAGCTGAGGCAGGCTGAGGCTGAGGCTGAGGCTGAGGCTGCAGGCTGAGGCTGAGGCAGGCTGAGGCTGAGGCCGAGGCTGAAGGCAGACTGAGGCTGAGGCTGAAGCAGGCTGAGGCTGAGGCTGAGGCAGGCTGAGGCTGAGGCTGAGGCAGGCTGAGGCTGAGGCAGGCTGAGGCTGAGGCTGAGGCTGAGGCTGAGGCTGAGGCTGAGGCAGGCTGAGGCTGAGGCTGAAGCAGGCTGAGGCAGGCTGAGGCTGAGGCAGGCTGAGGCTGAGGCAGGCTGAGGCTGTGACTGCGACTGCCGCTGCCACTGCGACTGTCATTGCGAATGCGACTGCGACTGCGAGAACAGCAGAACTCTACAACTGGATTCTCATCTGAATCTTAAGGGGAATGCTTCCATATATATGCTTCTACACATCGCTGTTAGGTTGCTTCTACACATCGCTGTTATCGCTACAAAAAACAGCAATATATATATATATATATATATATATATATATATATATACATGTATATATATAAGGAAAATAAAGAAAAAGAAGAAGAAGAAAAAAAAAAAAAAAAAAAACGCCCACGCTTTTGCCGATATGTAAGAAAACCAAAAATTTCAACATGTTGAATAAAGTCGGCCGCACGGGCGTCCCGCGCTGCATGTCGAGATCGTTCGAACGACCTTGCGCGCGTGCTGTAGTGGGGGGGGGCCGATCCGTGTCAAACAATACCATGCGAGCCACTCTCGCCCGGCGGCGGCGCACGCCGAACCCCCTTTCAAAACATCCATCACCGACGCGAGGGCAACGTCATCGTCGCCGGCGTGATCAGCATCGGCGCCGGCACAGGCCCTGCCGTCGTCGTTAGTGATCATCGTCACCAGCACCGCTACCATCATCATCGTATGTACCGTCGTCGACGTTGCCATGATACCGCGCCCGCCCAAGTCGCCGACTCGCACTGAAATGCCCGCTGGGAAGGAAGTGCACAGCGGTCAGCGCCACCACGGCCGCGTCGGTCGCGCCAACGTAGCTGGTCGCTGCGCGCGCGAGCATGCGCGGGCGACCGCGGCCACAGAGATGCACTAGCCAACACCAAGAACTCATCGCAATCGCCGCCGCATGGGTTTTGCAAACCATGCTGCTGGCGGGTAGGATGGTTTCGTGAGCACTGGATTTCACAAGTCACTGCGAACAGAAATTAAGTGTATCTGATCGATTGTACCACGCAGCTTGCACCACATGGATTAACTGCGCATCGTAGACGGCAGAACATAGATTCCACCACAGACGTTGCACTACAAATATTGCACCACACATCTTGACCCACATACACAACACCACATCTACTGCATCACATAGATAGCACCACATGTATTACCAAAAACACACTATTCATGGTCCGCGCTGGCTGGCATGCACACAACACACACACACGCACACAGACAACACACACACACACACTTGTTCTTTGATCTGCAGGGCGAGAGCGAACCTCTTCCGCTGAAAGCTAAGCGGGACGCGCACAGCTTGAATTAGCAGAGAGAGGGCACGGGAAGGCGGGGCCCCAGGCGGCCAGAGCGGGCGGGGCCCGCACAGCACACACACAACACAACACAACACGCACAACACAACACAACACACACACAACACACACACACACACAACACACACACACACACAACACAACACAACACAACACAACACAACACAACACAACACAACACAACACACACACATGCGCACCCCGCGAGCCTCCCCCGAGTCCCGGGACAGATCCGCCCAGGGGTGCCCGTGCACTCTCCTCCGGCGGCGCGCCCGGGTGGGGCAGGCAAAGAGGGGGCGGGCCCCTCCCGGAGCGAGAGGCGAGGGAGGCGCCCGGCCTCCCGAGCGGCCCCCGGAGCCTGCCTCCCGAAGCCCCGCCGCCCCTTGAGGAGGCCCACCCGCTCTCCTCGAGGCCTCCCAATAGAGGCAACAGAACTATGCACATACACCCTGCGAAATGATTTAGAAATCATGGGTTAAGAAATTCATAGTCTCAGAACTTGAATACAAACCCAACATTCCTATCAAAATCTTAAGATTCACACTGAAACGTTAAGAATAATCGAGACTCTGGCCGAAAACTTAAGTTTTCTTAAGCATCGCCTAAGGTGTATGCACATACACCGATTCCGGCCAGGCCCATCCTGAGCCCAGGATCGGTGCATACCCCCTCCTATCTTGGCCAGGGAGGCATGTGCACCGATCCTGGGTCCAGGATGGGCCTTGCCAGGACCGGTGCATGTGCATAGTTCTCTTCGCCCGATCCCAGATGGGGTCGGAGTCAGATGGGGCCGGAGGATCGCGCCGCATCGAACCGCATCGGCGGTGCATCGGCGGCGCGGCGCGAGCCTCCGACCCCCCTTTAACTCCGACCCCATCTGGGAGGCCTGGACCTCCCTTCCCTGCCATAACGAAACCCATGCACCGTCCCATGTGTGAACCCCCTCCTGGCGCCGCGCAAACGTGGTACGGTGCACAGTCTTCTGGCCTCGAGGGCCGCAACAAGTTGCACCGCACCGCTCCCGGGTCGAGGAGCGACGACGCCTCGGGCGATGCCAACGCGGCACGGTACCCACAAGTCGTCCGCCGAGCCCCCTCTACGGGAGCAACTCATGGGAGCCTCCCATACCATCTTGATGGCTCTTGCGAATCGACGAGACTCAACGCTAAGTGGGCGCTATCTCATCGACTACCCGGCGCCAGATCGACGCGAATGCACTCTAAATAAGGAATTGCGAGAGTGCCCACCGGTCGGAAGAGGTAGGTAGAAACATGAAGGAATGCGTTGACAA